TATGTCCACCACAGGGGACAAGATCCTTGATACTGCACTCTCTAAGGTAACATCATCTTCCCCCCAGTAGTGGTGTCCCCACTCTTCTTTCCTTCCCTCAAGGGATTCACCCAGGCTCCTTCTTGCCCAACAGATTGGAGAGAAGAGCTTGTTTACCAAGGAGCTTGAACATGCCCTGGAGAGGAATGAGTAAGTAAAGATAGGAGTGTGGTGCCACCTGCCCCCCACCCTGGTCTCTTGCTGGGACCCTAGTATGTTAGGTCTATTGCAGGGACCCCGATGTCAGCTAGGCTGCTGGGCTTAAACCCTTAGAGAGGCTGAAGGTGGCTCATAGGTGGGTTTTTTCAGCCTTCAGAAAAGGAGAGTGTCTTGGTTGTGAGCCATCTGGCTGCCTGGACTGCAAGAATGGCTGGGGGAGGGAGGGTAGGAGGCAGGGTGAGAGGAGAGCAGGTTTCAGGCTCCTGAGGTCTTGGGAAGGCATGCTTCCTGAACTGCCCTAGGCTCCACCACTGAAGTAGACCCAGGGATGGGCGGAGAAGGGGTGAAGGCTGGCTGCTCATACACTTTCTCTTTGCTCCCGTCTCCCATCTTTGTAGAGTGGACCTGGTTGTTCACTCCCTGAAGGACCTACCCACTGTGCTTCCTCCTGGCTTCACCATAGGAGCCATCTGCAAGTAAGAGTCTTGCAAGTAAGGGGGCCTGGGCAGTGGTAGGCATCATGTGAACCTTTGCCTTTCCCTTTGGGACCTGACCCTCTGCTTCGGGCTTATCTCCTCTGCCCTGAGGAGTGTTGATTGGTGGCAGAAAACTCAGGAAATACCAGTGAGTTGGCAATCGAGAGAGAGTAGAGGTGATCTAAACTGAAATGTCTTCCCTCATTTTATGCCCTTCCCTCATCCCCCAGGCGGGAAAACCCCCATGATGCTGTTGTCTTTCACCCAAAATTTGTTGGGAAGACCCTAGAAACTTTGCCAGAAAAGAGGTAAGTGGGGCCTGGATAGGCAGCTCGGTGGGATGTGCCCAAAGATGGAGGGATGGGAGGAGGAGAGGAAAGAAACAGTGACACCCTAGTGTTAAAATCTCATTGTAACCTCTCTCTTGGCAGTGTGGTGGGAACCAGCTCCCTGCGGAGAGCGGCCCAGCTGCAGAGAAAGTTCCCACATCTGGAGTTCAGGAGCATCGTATCCTTTTAGAAGAGGGATGGGGGCAGCAGCCAAGGGAAAAAACAAGGTCTAGAGGACTCTGGGAGTCCTGAGAGTGGGAAGGGGCTTCCAGCTAGCAGCACACGGGGTCAGTGGTCTGTCTTTCCTTCCATCCACTCATCTGTCCACTCATTTATAGTCTAATGTTTTCTTAGCCCCAGGCAAGTGCTTGGAATGCAAGGCATTGGGGATAATGGTGAGCAACATAAACATTGCCCCTGCATATGAAGAGTTTACTTTTTATTTAGGGATAATGCAGTTATACTGAACAGTGACTGCTTCTGAAGGGATAGAGAGTACCTCTTTATTTTTTTAGACAGAGTCTTGCTCTGTCGCCCAGGCTGGAATGCAGTGGCGTGATCTCTGCAACCTCTGCTTCCTGGGTTCAAGCAGGCCTCCTGCCTCAGCCTCCCAAGTAGCTGGGATTATAGGCACCTGCCACCATGCCTGGCTAAGTTTTGGATTTTTAGTAGAGACGGGGTTTCACCATGTTGGTCAGACTGGTATCAAACTCCTGACCTCCGGTGATCCACCAGCCTCTGCCTCCCAAAGTGCTGGGATTACAGGCTAGAGCCACCACGCCCGGCCGGTACTTCCATTTTTATATGCTCTTATGTTGTTTTGACTTTTACAATGAATATGTAGTACATTTCATAAAACTAAATTTAAAAATAGTATGTGCTAAGTGAAGTTGTGAATTTTTTGGAAACTTCTAGTTGGAACATCTAAACACAGAAATCTGGGGGTCAGGGAAGGTTTCTCAGAGGTCTTGTAAACTTGGGCAAGTTATTTAGCCTTCCTATGTCATTTTCCTCATCTATAAAGTGGGGGTAATAATACTACCTTCCTCGCAGGGCTGTTGTGAAGATGAAATGAGCTGACATATGGAGAGCACATTTAGAGCAGTGTCTGGCATGTAGTAAGTATGATATAAGTGTTAGCTGATGAATGAAAGTCAGCCAGCTAGAGAGGTTAAGACTCAGGCAGAGGGAACGTCATGAAGCCCCAGATTGCCCGACACTATGGTCCTTAGCAACTCTCCACAGCGGGGAAACCTCAACACCCGTCTTCGGAAGCTGGACGAGCAGCAGGAGTTCAGTGCAATCATCCTGGCAACAGCTGGCCTGCAGCGCATGGGCTGGCACAACCGGGTGGGGCAGGTAGGGGCTGCCCCTATCCTCTCCCCAGTTTGTCTGCGTCTCCTTTCTGCCTTACATCATACCCAGTTTAGGATTTTTAGACTTTATGACTGTGTGAAAGCCGTACACATTCAGTAGAAACTGTACTTTGAGTACCCAGCCATTCTGTTTTTTACTTTCAGTATAGTATTCAATCAATTACATGAGATTCAACACTTTATTGTAAAATAGGCTTTGTGTCAGATGATTTTGCCTGACTATAATAGGCTACTTGTTAAGTGTTCTAAAAACATATAAGGTAGGCTAGGTGTAGTAAATGCATTTTCAGCTTATGTTTGCAACTAACAATGGGTTTATCATGATGTAACCCCACTGTAAGTTGAGGACCATCTGTCTTCACTTCTTGACCATCCCACCTCTAACACCACAAGCTAGGAAGATTGCAAATCAGAGGCCAGACTCTAGGCATTCATGGAGAAAATTTACAAAAAAAAATAAATAAATAAAAAATAATAAAAAAGGGCCGGGCGCGGTGGCTCACGCCTGTAATCCCAGCACTTTGGGAGGCCGAGGCGGGTGGATCACGAGGTCAAGAGATCGAGACCATCCTGGTCAACATGGTGAAACCCCGTCTCTACTAAAAAATACAAAAAATTAGCTGGGCATGGTGGCGTGTGCTTGTAATCCCAGCTACTCAGGAGGCTGAGGCAGGAGAATTGCCTGAATCCAGGAGGCGGAGGTTGCGGTGAGCCGAGATCGCGCCATTGCACTCCAGCCTGGGTAACAAGAAAGAAACTCCGTCTCAAAAAAAAAAAAAAAAAAAAAAAAGGACAGACTCACACTCAGGTCTACCGAGGCTTTCTAGATTACAGGGAACCCCCCAACTCACTGCCATGTCCACCCTTCTGACTACCTGTTCTGCCTCCACAGATCTTGCACCCTGAGGAATGCATGTATGCTGTGGGCCAGGTATACTTGACCAGGGAAGCCACATGTTGACATACCCCTTCCCTTTGTTCTCAGCCAAGAAGTTGGTCTCACAACCTTCTGCATCTGCTTCCTCAGAATAGTATTCTCAGGGAGGGGCAGGCCTTGGGATTCTACCAGTCCGGAAGACCCTGGGGAGCAAGTAGATAGAGGTGTTCCCATGCTTGGTGCCATTGGTTGGGGAAAATCAGGCCTGATGTCCTAGGGTGTTTTTCCATCAGGGGGCCTTGGGTGTGGAAGTCCGAGCCAAGGACCAGGACATCTTGGATTTGGTGGGTGTGCTGCATGATCCCGAAACTCTGCTTCGCTGCATCGCTGAAAGAGCCTTCCTGAGGCACCTGGTAGGTAGGACCTGTGCTCCACCTGTGGAGGGCTGGGGACTTGGAGAGCTGGGAATGGTGGTGGGGAGATTTCTCACATGAATGCTTTGTATATAGTGCTAACTCATTCTTGTTGAATGTTGTGTATGGAGAGGACCAGGTATGGGCCCACAGTTGCCTTTTCAGTGGTGTCCTCAGGTCTGTGGTCACAGGGTGGTATTAAGAGCCCTTGGAGCTCATAGCAACTTCTCATTGCAGGAAGGAGGCTGCAGTGTGCCAGTAGCTGTGCATACAGCTATGAAGGATGGGCAAGTAAGCAGGGGAAAATGGGTGGAAAGGCAGGGAAGGGAGGACTGTGGCATTTCTTCCTGTGCATCCAGGCTTCTAAGCAGTCCCCTCTCATACTGTATTGAGGCAACTGTTTTCTTCCCCAGCTGTACCTGACTGGAGGAGTCTGGAGTCTAGATGGCTCAGATAGCATACAGGACACCATGCAGGCTACAATCCATGTCCCTGCCCAGGTACCAAAGCTGAAGGGTGAGGGGGGTAATAAACAAGAGTGCATGTAATCTCTCTTGTTCTCACCAAATCCCACCTCCACTCATACAGCATGAAGATGGCCCTGAGGATGACCCACAGCTAGTAGGCATCACTGCTCGGAACATTCCGCGAGGACCCCAGTTGGCTGCCCAGAACTTGGGCATCAGCCTGGCCAACCTGTTGCTGAGCAAAGGAGCCAAAAACATCCTGGATGTTGCACGGCAGCTTAATGATGCCCATTAACTGGTCTGTGCGGCATGCCTGGGTTGCTGCTGTCCAGTACCTATTCTCATGCTAGCTGAGAAGCAATTACCCCAGGAGACTGAACAGCAGGGTCCAAGCCTTCCAGGGATTTGCCACACCATGAGGACTTGATGACTGCCTTGCCTCCTCAGTATGTGGGGGCTTCATCTCTTTAGAGAAATCCAAGCCACAGCCTTTGAATGTAACCAACTCTACTAATAAACCAGCTCTGAAGGTGCTTTTTGTTTTTCTTTTGTGGGGTGGGCAGGAAGATATGAACAAACACAAAGCCCTTTCACCCTTACTTCTGAGGCTGGGACTTTTGCCCAAAGTTCTCCTGGAACATCCTTTCTGCTTCTGCCTCAATAGTTTTCATTTCACACAGAATAAATTGTCTCCCAGAAACACTGAGAAACAGAGCCATAGTCTTAAATTCCTATGGTTTGTCCCTTCTCTAGTTAACAGTAGAGCCTATTTTATTGCATGGTCCCTCCCACCCCCACTATCTCGGGAAGGTATACAAAGTCACTAATTCTACACCCTCTTGCAAAATGAAAACAAACGCTCCATTTAAAAAAGAAACAATCCTTTAATAAAATTAGTCCATCTAAAACTCCCCAATGCCTCAGGTTCTAGTCTTGGAAGGGTTAGCTGCAAAATTCCAGTTCGGAAGCCAACAGAGGCTCAGTCCAGAAAGGGATTAACCAACTTGTGCTGGTATCTAGGTGCTTGGATTGCCGAGTCGAGTTTGCTGGAAGGGAAATGGGGCAGCGTGGGGAGGCCTGACAGGCCTGGCTGCCAGTTGGCTTCTGCGAAAACGACTCTTGCTGTCCACATAGCCAGCCGTGAAGCCGAACTGCAGACCTCTACCCTCCCCCAAATGTCCTCCTAGGAGGCAGTCACTCGGGAGGAAGATGTGCCTGTTACCAAGTGTTTCGTCCCGGCCCCAGGGCAGACCTATGAATGAAGATGGAGATCTGACGTGAAAAGCCTGAGTCCTGGCCGCAGAGGGGGCGCCAGACGGAAATCAGCGAGCGTATCTCTCCCTCCAAAGCCTCCAGGCCAGCGGCCACGTCTGGAAGTCCTGGGCTAAGCACCACGACGGGGGAGGACCAGATGCCCCGGCTGCAGCTGCCGAGGGACTCACTCACCTTCAGGGCCGCCGGCCTCTCGGCCTGGGCTGCCCACCTCGGCCCTGCGTCAGAGAGGAAGGCTAAGTCTTCCAGAAGGTGCTGCGGCCTCCCCGCAGCCCCTCAGCGACTCAGGATGGGGCGGCTGAGTCACGAGCGCCGAGGCGGGCAGGTGCTGCGTCGCCGGTCTCCCCCCGGCAGGCTCGGGTCCTCCGCACCACGGCGGTCACCGAAGAGCGCCCCAGCCCTACCGGAGACCGGCCGGCGGACTTGGCAGGGCCCGAGGCCGACGCGGCAGGGGGTGCGGGCCAGGAGCGGGGGCGGACGGGGACTCCAGGCCGGGCGGCGGGCGAGGGGAGGGGAAGGGAGGCGAGAGCCGCGGCCCGCTTGCTCCGCAGTTTGAAGTGGCTCAGCTCTTTCCGTGAGGGCGGTGGTGGCCCTTAAAAGGGCCTTTGTGGTGGCATGGGGAGGCCTGGCGGCCGGCCGCGACGCGGGCCCTCTTAGTACTCCTGTGAGGCCTGGGTGGCCTTCTTGCCGCCCGAGGGCGCCTTCGGCCCCACGGTGGCGCTGGTCTTCTTGGGCAGCAGCACGGCCTGGATGTTGGGCAGAACGCCTCCCTGGGCGATCGTTACGCCGCCCAGCAGTTTGTTGAGCTCCTCGTCGTTGCGGATGGCCAGCTGCAGGTGGCGGGGGATGATCCGCGTCTTCTTGTTGTCGCGGGCCGCATTGCCCGCCAGCTCCAGGATCTCAGCGGTGAGGTACTCCAACACTGCCGCCAGGTACACTGGCGCGCCGGCGCCAACGCGCTCGGCGTAGTGGCCCTTCCGCAGCAGCCGGTGTACGCGGCCCACGGGGAACTGGAGGCCGGCACGCGACGAGCGCGACTTGGCTTTGGCGCGGGCCTTGCCGCCAGTCTTGCCGCGGCCCGACATGCTAGCGAGGTAGACCGGTGAAGCGCAACGGCTCAGAGACAGCACGACAAACACCCTCCGCAGTCCAACTACTGTCGTGCGCGCGCGCGCCGAGAGGCCGTCTTTATAACCCCCAGGACACACCTCCGCACCCTCCTGATTGGCTATTTTCTCCAGTACCCTCCTCCGATTGGTTGCGATTAACCCTTGGGTGTCGCGCCTCTACTGAGGTAGCGCGCCCGTTGATTGGTCGAATTTGAAAACCTTTTGCCCGGGGAGAAAAGGCGAGAAGGAGGGGTAGCGCGGAGACGGCCAACCACCCGCGAATGTAGCCAATCCTTGTAAAGCGCGCGAGATTTAAACGGTACAGTCAGAAACCAGAAGCTGAAGACAAAAGGGGTGAAGTCTGAGGACACCTAGAAAGCTTCTGGGAAATTGTGCTGGCGTAGGAATTTTAAAGGACAGGGGTCAATACTACAGCTACCGCTGCCTCCTTTTCCATGCCAGGTCACCCTTCTCCTACCTGGCAAAGGGAGAATGGGAAAGGGAAGAAATGAGACCCCTTAATGTTTTTTCTTTTTTTTTTAATAGACGGGGTCTCGCTGTGTCACCCAGGCGGGAGTGCAGTGGTGTGATCTCGGCTCACTGCAGCCTCGAACTCCTGGGCTCAAGGGATCTTCCCTGGTCAACCTCCCTAATAGCTCTTACTCTAAGCGCCCCCCACCACAGTTGGCTAATTATTTTATTTTTGTAGAGACAGTCTCATTTTGTTGCCCAGGCTGTCTTGAATTCCTGGGCTCAAGCAATCCTCCTGCCTCGGCCTCCTAAAGTGTTGGGATTACAGGTGTGAGCCACAGCACCCAGTGACTCTCTGAAAGTTTGATCCCATTCCAGGAAACGGGATAACGTCAATCTTGTGGCCCTCCATGCCACCTGAAGTATCAGGATTTCTTTTTTTCTTTTTTTTTTTTTGAGACAGAGTCTGGCTCTGTTGCCCAGGCTGGAGTCAGTGGCACATCTTGGCTCACTGCAACATCCGCCTCCCAGGCTCAAGCAATTCTCCTGCCTCAGCCTCCAGAGTAGTTGGGACTACAGGCGCACACCACCACATCTGGCTAATTTTTGTATTTTTCGTAGACACGGGGTTTCACCATATTAGCCAGGCTGGTCTCAAACTCCTGACCTCGTGATCCATCTGCCTCAGCCTCCCAAAGTGCTGGGATTACAGGCATGAGCCACCATGCCCAGCCAGGATTTCAATATTTATTCAACGTGTTCTGTTTGGTCTCAGTTCTGTTCATGTCTTGCTAGAAGAAGAAAGGAGAGAGGAGGCCACTATTTGAACCCTCCTCCGTGGCTAATTAAGGTGGAGTCAACCTGAGATCTGTTTCTGGCTCTGCTGTTTACTGCTATCAGAACCACTCTGAGTATCATATTATGCAAGGGAGAGAGATAGGCATCCTGTTGGAGGAAGTACTCTCACCAACCCTCTCAATCTATCCAAAAATGCCCATATAGGAAATAGACCTACAGGAACAATAAGAAAAAGACAACACTTTATTGTCTCCATTGGGAGCATGTGGCCCCCTGCTCAGCTCTTACTAATCAGAACACTTAATTTACAATCAAATGACATGTCACCTTGGAGCCTGTGTCCCTAGCCCTGGCCTAAGTTCTATCCCAAAGACCAGCAGTTCCTTGAAAGTCAGGACTCTGAAATTTGAGTGTGGATAACTGCAAAAAAAAAAAGAAAAAAAAAAAAACTGCTGCATCCCACCCTATGAGGCTGCAAAGATGGGATGGAGAGGGAGAGAGTGGCAAGTTGCAGGAGGCCATAGGCAAAGTCCAATCAGTCGTCAGTAGAGGACAAGAAACGCCCAGGATGCCAGTGATCACAGGGAAAGGAAAATGCTGAGAACAAAATCTGGAGGAGCATGAAAAGTGAGACGCCTTGGCCAGGAGGCAGTCTTGGTCCAGGGAGAGGTCAGCCTGAGTGAGGAATCCTAGAGACTGTGAGGTAAAGGACAATGATCAAGGGACTCAGACATCATAGAAGAGTCGGACGAGCTGGTATCGAATGGAGAAGGTGACGGCACTGCCCAGGATCTGCAAGGAGAAATAGGCTGGAGTAAGAATCATGAAGAAAGGGGGACAAGGAGAAGTAAACCCTATCCCCATCCTCACCTGCAACAGCAGCAGGAGCAATGTGAGGTTTCTCTCATGTATGGGCCCAAAGATTTTAAGTAGCAAGTTGATGAGGGTCATGTTGTTACATTCAGTGAATTCACCATCCTCAGTCTCACTTTGGTGGATTGTCACCAGCCGGAGGCTATCTGCCACCTGAAGGGGCCAGAGGTGAAGAGAACTTCAGCTAATACCTATGCTTCAGGAATGTGGCTCTGTTTAATGCTTCCAAGTTCCCCTTGGATCTGATGTAGGCCTAAGTTCCCCATTCCTCAAGGTCAGGATGGCAACCTAGGGCCTTACCTCCTTGTTACCCTGTTACCTTTAAAATAAAGGTGCCCAAGAAAGAGAGGCTCTTGGTCTTGAACTTGGAATAGCTCATCTCCAGTTTGCCTGTCTTGATATTGAGTCTGCAGGGGGAAGATAGCTTCATGTGACTGGGCCACTATTTGAACCCTCCTCCCTGTAGCTAATTAATAGGAAAAGTATTGAAGGTGGAGTCAACCTGAGATCTATTTCTGATAGCTGCTTACTGCTATCAGAACCACTGTGAGTATCAGATTATGCAAGTAAATGTGCTTTGTAAGTTATAAAGGGCTACTCACATGGAAATAGTCCTTGTTTGGGCCTACTCCCTTTGCACAGCAAATGTATAGGCTTGCATTAGATATCCCAAGTGAAAAGGCTATGATGTCCATTTCAAGCCCCAAAGTGGCTACCTGGGTATGCGGTGGCGAGGGCAGGGGATGATATGCAGGAGCTGAGGCAGTGAGTAGAGGAAGTTGAACACCTGGGGCATGAAGAATAGTAGCATGGTCTTGCTGAAGTGTCCCAAGATTCCCACCACGGCAAAGGTCATGCCAGCAAAGTAACAGAAGGTATCTCCCACAAACACCCGTGATGGGTACCTGTGTGGGGGAGAGGATCTGAGCCAGTGGCAAGAGGCACTACCAACCCTTTCTCTCACATCACACCCTGTGGGCACTGGACTGGCCCTGACCCTAGTTCTGACTCAGAGGAGACTCCAGTTGCGCAGCAATTCTGCAGGATCCAAGGCCCTGAATTCATCTGTTCCTGGGGCCTCCACGCACTCATCCCAAACTACTGCTGGGTAGAGAGAAATTTCAGAATATGATCAACTGAAGATGCGGAAAACTCCACAGAGGTATGCACAGATTTAGCCTCTCCACCACAAGGTGGGTTATGATAAGGACCATCTTTACCATGTGTTCAGGTAGTTGCCCCCCTAATCCAAGGCCTACTTACCAGTTGTGGTAGAGCAATCCCAAAGTGGTGAAAAAAAAGGGTATCATGAAGTAGAGGGAAAAGACATGATCATCTCGACAATCACCTTTGGAAGCAAGGAAGAAAGAAGGAAAAGTTAATACCCACTTCCCCTGAATACCTTGATCCTATTTTTGTCTAAGTTCTGTTTATAGCTGTATCATCTACCTCACCCAAGTCACTTTCAAGAACTCAATACCCCTTTTATGTCACCCAAGACAACTCCCAATATTCTACCTCTCTCATGAAGCCTTCCTAAACCAGTTACTGTCTTAAATTTGGTTTAGACCATTCTGACATAAGTTTGGATACCAACTTAACTTCTTAGCTGTATGACGTTGATCTTGATCATCACATATTTAACTTCTCTAAGCCTGTTTTCCCATCTGTAAAATAGGGCTGATTATAACATCTGCCACATAGAACCATTATAAGATTTAAATAAGACAGTGTTTAAAAAGTACTTAGCTTTAATAAGCACTTGTTGATGTTCATCAGCCAAAGACCACTAGAAACGCATCTATAGTTCAAAGCTAGGTTTAATGACTTGTAAAAAGGGAGATTTCAGAAACCACGTGCCACTGAGAACCACAGAATGTCTCAGTAAGACAGTGTTAGGAGGGGCTTGTAGTAGGATTTGTTTTGAGTATTTTGGGAGAGGATGAAAGAAAGTAGAGTTTTGCTCTAGACTGTTAAAAAGCAGAAGTAATTCTATGATCAAGCATTTTAATGTTTAAGAAGTGGCAGGAACTGGCTGGGCACAGGAGCTCAAAAGTGTAATCCCAGCACTTTGGGAGGCCAAGGCTGGCAGATCAGTTGAGCCCAGGAGTTCAAGACCAGCCTAGGTAACATGGTGAAACCCTGTCTCTACAAAAAATACAAAAATTTGTCAGGTGTGGTGGCACATGCCTGTAGTCCCAGCTACTCGAGAAGCTGAGGCAGGAGGATCATTTGAGTCGGAGGATACAGTGAGCTAAGATCACGCCACCACTCTCTAGCCTGGGCAACAGAGGGGGAGACCTTGTTTCAAAAAAAAAAAAAAAAGTGGTAGGAACTGAGTTGTTACTGGAAAGCAGCAGCAGCAGTTGCTAATGTTAGCCGAGAGAAGGGATCTTGGCCATTTTGTGGGTTGCTCAGTGATCTTGTGATTTCGTCTGTACTCAAACACGATTATAGAGGGAGAGGTCTAGTTTTGGTCTCACTCCATTATGGTCACAGAGTGACCATGTGTAATGTTGGGGTTCTGTGAAACTTTATATTCAATGGGAGAAGATCATAATCAAGCTATTAGTGTCAATCCAGCTATAAATGATGGGGCTGCTATTTTTCTTTCTCACTTTTAATAAATCTACATTGTTATTTGCAAAGTAAGTAGCTTCCTTTATCTTTTATAATTACTAAACATATTTTTTTTTTCTGAGTTTCCCAAAGCTATATTTCAGGCCACACCTTTAACACTAAGACTTCTGTCGCCCCACCCTCAATTCCACCTACCTTCCAACTCTACAAGGTTGAAGACAATGATGGAAGCAGAAATGACTAGTGACTGGCCAGCCTCTAGGCCGTTAATTCCTGCTAGGATATTGATGGCATTGGTACAGAACACTGCCAGCAGCCCCATGTAGACATAGTACAGGATTCCTGGGGGGAGACATGGTAGGAAAAGAAGTAGTGCCACCTAGGGGAAGAGGATTTAAGAATTTGAGAAAAGTGGTGAGGACAGAGGGTAAGATGAAGGGTCACCGAAAAGGATCTGGGCAGGCACAAAGACAGAAAAGGAACACTTGGAGGAGAATGTGGAGCACCAGGAAGGGTGCCCTGAAGTAGGTGCCATAGGAGCAGCAGTGGCAGGACTACTTACCCAAGTCCAGATGCAGGCCAAGAATCGGGCGGAAGGGCTTGGGCACCACGATGGTCGTGTTGCCAAAGTTGGTGAAATAGACCATGAGGAGAGGTAGTGAGGCAGCTGTGGGTAGCAGCAGCTTATGGCGCCAGCGCAGATTCAGTACATCATCCGCAAAGCCCAGGAAGATCATGCAGCAGATGGCAAGGAGGGCACCTATCAGGGCCACAAACTGGGGGAGGCTCGGGCGGTCCATGACTCAAGCCTGCTCCCATTCCACCTTTTAAGAATTCCTGTCTTTTCTGATCATTTCTTAGCCCCTCCCCCCAAGCCCAAATAACCCCAATTCTCTCAGGTACCTCCCAGATCCCAGCCACAAGCAACCACCCCCATGAACCCACTTACTTCATGGTGGGGGAATGCCTCACACTGCTCCTTCACAAAACAGTTCAGGAAGGGGAAAGGAATGAAGCAGAAGAGGATGATAAGGAAAACTGCACCGCTGATCACTCCCTGGGATTCTGGGCTGTGGCCCAGCAGCAAGGAGGCGAGGGGAGGCGGGGAGGAAAGGGGGCGTGGTCACTCACTAGTGCAGATATTACCATAACCCAAAGTGATCTTCTCATTCCCAGTTCTTTACTTTGGGAAGTGGTGAGGGGGGCGGAAGGGGGAGAGCACCACTCTTAGAGTCCCTAAACACTCAAGGGTCCCTACCCATCCCTTCCCCAATGCAGTAAGTTCTGCCCATCACCTCTCTGAGTCCCAGGCTGTCTGGGTTAGTTCTGAGTCTCCACGAATGGTCTAGCACCCTGGTCCCCGCCCCCACCCTGGCTACTCCTTCCTTAGCCCTTAGCCCTTGCCTCCTGCCCGGACCCGTATACGGCTGCTCACATCTGCTGTCGGCTGGATTTGTTGAGGTCCTGACCACAGAGGCGCGCAGCGATGAAGTGGCCCCGGAAGGCCGGGATGAGGGTGACTGTGGCCACAAATCCCAGCAACGAGACGATCAAATTCACCAGCAGCGGCATGGGCAATTCCGGTAAGGCCCACATGGTGACCGGTCAGGGGCCCGGCTCCGCTGCCTCCTCAGGTAACGGGCAAGCTGAGCAGCAGTCCTGAGGCCTCAGCGGTATGGAGTGGCCGCTCCCCACAGGCAGGCTTTTCCCACACCAATCTGAGCAAAACCCAACAACTCTGACTTGAGCCGCCTTCGGGACCCCCGAAAACCTCGCTAAAGCAACCTAGGTTCTGCCTCGCTGCACCTGCCTACCTACTGTTTCCGCCCGGATCTTATTCGCTGAACAACTATCACTGCGGAAGGCGGCGGCCGCCATTTTTAATATGGGCACTAGAGTGTGGAGGTGGGGGTGGAAGAGAAGTATGATTCTATAATTTCATCCTTTGTTCGAGAGTGGAATCATCGCGAGAGTATTGGAAAAGCAATTAAAGAAAGGCAGCCAAGAACAGATGCTTCCCTAACATTATGTTAAAGATACTTCCAGAGCCGAAATGCCAGTTGCCCTGTTCCAAGATGAATGCCTCCTTGTACCACGTGTCTGACACCGCTCACATTCGGGTTGACGTCAGTTTTAGCTCCGTCCGCCTTCGTAGGTCAAGTCTAAAGGGCCAGTACCCCGCCCTTAATCTGGGAGGCCTCCGGCTCCAGGAAGACGGCTATTGAAAGGCAGGGGGTGGGGAGCAGGTTCGAGGATGTGGAGCTGCGCCTGTTCCTTGCAGGAAACTTGTTGCCAAGGTAATCGGAAGCCAAGGTAAACACAGCTCAGTTCCCGGAAACGCAGCTAAGATTTGGAAGGATGGTGTAAACTCTAAAGCGTAGATCCTTGAAAAGCCCCTCCCAGGCCGGGCGCGGTGGCTCACGCCTATAATCCCAGCACTTTGGGAGGCCGAGGCGGGTGGATCGCGAGGTCAAGATATCGAGACCATCTGGTCAACGTGGTGAAACGCCGTCTCTACTAAAAATACAAAAATTAGCTGGGCATGGTGGCGCATGCCTGTAGTCCCAGCTACTCGGGAGGCTAAGGCAGGAGAATTGCTTGAACCCAGGAGGCAGAGGTTGCGGTGAGCCGAGATCGCGCCATTGCACTCCAGCCTGGGTAATAAGAGCGAAACTCCGCCTCAAAAAAAGAAAAAAGGAAAAGCCCCTCCCACTCTGTTTTTCTTGTCTTCGATGCTGGTATTTTTTTCTCAACATCTCACTCACTTTCTGCCCCAACTGTAGCAGTTAGTTGCCCGGCAACCGAGCTCAGCACTTCAGTGAGGGATTGTGAGTACCCTCAGGTCTTGGGTAACTCGAGACTTCTGCTTGGTCCTGGATCACTGCATTGTACCAAGCTCCCATAAGGAGGAGATGGAGATTTCAAGGCTCTGGAAAGAGCTGAGGAGGCAGAGAAATCAGACTCACAACTGGCTTCCTGTAAGCCTGAGGAACTCACAGTCAGTTTTTTTCCTGCAGATCACTATGCATTTTGCTTGGCCTGTGCCCCTGCAAACAATTCACCAGTATCTTTTTTTTTTTTTTTTTTTTTTTTTTTGAGACGGAGTTACGCTCTTATTACCCAGGCTGGAGTGCAATGGCGCCGTCTTGGTTCACTGCAACCTGTGCCTCCCGGGTTCAAGAGATTCTCCTGCCTCAGCCTCCCGAGTGGCTGCGATTACAGGCATACGCCACCACGCCCAGCTAACTTTGTATTTTTGATAGAGACGGGGTTTCTCCATGTTGGTCAGTCTGGTCTTGAACTCCTGACCTCAGGTGATCTGCACACCTTGGCCCCCCAAAGCGTTGGGATTACAATCGTGAGTCACCCAGTCCAGCCAATTCACCAGCATCTTTATCACCTTTCATTCCTGCACAGGCTCTTAGGCAGCACATGATTTCTGTTGTCAGACATGAAATCACCACTAGTGAGTTAGGGAAAGGACTCCAATAGCTGAGCACTTTGTCCACTCTTCCCTCTACAGCATGTTCCAGAAGTCAGGGTCATGTTGACGTTTTTTAAGCTGAAAATAGTTTCTTCTTTCCCTAAAAACCAGATGTGAGGCTGGGTGTAGTGGCTCACGTCTGTAATCCCAGCATTCCCAGCACTTTGGGAGGCCAAGGTGGGTAGCTTACTTGAGGTCAGGAGTTCAAGACCACCCTGGCCAACATGGTGAAACCCTGTCTCTACTGAACATACAAAAATTAGCTGGATGTGGTGGCACATGCCTGTAATCCCAGCTGCTCAGGAGGCTGAGGTGGGAGGATAGCTTGAACCCGGGATGTGGAGGTTGCAGTGAGCAGAGATCATGTCACTGCACCCCAGCCTGGGCAACAGAGGGAAACTCTGTCTCAAAATAAACACAAAAACAAAAAACCCAGATGTGAATTGGCTTTTCTACTTGAAAATGGCTCGAATTAACAATAACAAAAACGCAGATATGTATAAAACACATAAATTTCTGTAATTTCCTTGCTAGTATTCTACTAAATTTTGAGTACTTAACACTGCTATTATTTTTCTGTGTGTGTGTTCTGTCTATGCACACGTGCCCCTCTTAAACTAGAAACTCCCAGGAGGCAAGTGTTTTCCACAGGGTGTTCCCATGGGGCTGGGAACACAGATATCTGTGTACGAGGAAGGCATCATCACACATAATGAGGCTGAGTCTGAAAGAAGCACTGAGGGCAATCGGTGCCTATGGAGGGGGCAATCAGTTGTGACCAGGGTAAGTGGTCTTGAGGAAGAGAAGTATCATTTCAGTAGATTATAAGAGTAGAAGTGCCTTTCAAACACGGCGACAGTGAGACGCCAGAAGCAGGTGGAAAGGAGGAGCTTGTGGGATCCCAGAGGAGGCAGCATTCAGTTATCTTGTTGATGATGAGTATGCTGAGACTCCCTGGAGGTCTGAGAGCCAGTCTGTATCTATTTCCTTTTTTAATAGGAAGCCAAGCCTAATACATCTTCCTTCCCGGTCTGCTATTGGGAAGCTTTGTCTCTTTCTTCTCCAGAGATCATTAGCTCTCGCTACCACCACCCTCCTGGGGAGGGCAGGAGGACATAATCAAGGGAAGAGACATTAAGGATTAATCACCCACATACACATGTGGCCATCAGAAAATGGTTACTAAGATACTTGTCATATAATCTGAGTATTTTTGTTCCCATGATGGTAAAAGCCCAGTTGATTATCAGACTAATCAGAAGGAGAAACAAACACGTGACTTTTGGCGTCACCTGAAATTGTGTGCCTTTCCTCATAAAAATTCAAAGCAATTGCCGGAATGCTGAAGCAGGCCCTAGGATTCACAAACCAGCTGACTTGTCAGCAGCCATGGACTGAGCAGTGTTTGAGATGTGCATCTCTTCTAAGAAGCACTGAGTGCCTCCCAATGAGCAAGGCCAATCCACTAAATCTGATTGCTAGACAAAGTCTGTTCCAAAAATGTTTCATAGTGCTCAAAAGACAATGAGACCCCTCTGGATAGTCTGGGGCTGTGACATCTGCAGGACCCTATCTGTGGCTCTGTCCAGGCAGCTGAATCACTCTTTTTCCCCTTTTCCTCCTACCTCTCCCCTTTTAGTCTAGAAAAAACAGTTGTTAACTAAAAGCAAGCCCTAGGATTTGACATTCCACTGGCATGACATGAATGATGTTTCAAAAGATAGAAATTCTCAAAGTATATTTGAGGATTTTCTGTTAGACTTCTTAAAATTACAAAGTTTGGGCTGGGCGCAGTGGCTCACGCCTGTAATCCCAGCACTTTGGGAGGCCGGGGCGGGCAGATCACCTGAGGTTGGGAGTTTGAGACCAGCCTGGCCAATATGGTGAAACCCCATCTCAAAACAAAAAATTACAAAGTTTGTTAATCCCTACTATGTGCATAGGAAGCTCTTCAGTACTGTGGAGGATGAACTGATATAAATGCAATTGCTTGTCCCCAAGGAGCCTACTTCAGCATATTTAGAGCATCTTGGTTGAATTTGAGGGAAGAGAGATGACTAAGGCATGGTTCCCACCCCTAGGCAGCTTCCTGATGAATGGAAGATGCAGACATATAAACAATCAGCTAGACTCTACGGCAGAATGAAGTAAGTGCTAGAGGTCTAAGTAATGGATGAAAGAGGGAGGACTAGGCTGAGTGTGGTGGCTCACGCCTATAATCCCAGGATTTTGGAAGGCCGAGGCAGGAGGATCACCTGAGGTTTGGAGTTTGAGACAAGCCTGGCCAACATGGTGAAACCCCATCTCTACTAAAAATAACAAAAATTAGCCAGGTGTGTTGGTGCATGCCTGTAGTCTCAGCTACTTGGGAAGCTGAGGCAGGAGAATTGCTTGAACCCGGGAGGTGGAGGTTGCCATGAGCTGAGATTGCACCACTGTACTCCAGCCTTGGCAACAGTGACTCTCTGTAAAAAAAAAGAGGAGTAACTAGGGAGACTCATGTAAGACTGAATTGTGAAGCAGTATCTGGCAGCATAGGACCAAGCACTCAGTGGAGGAGTTGAGGGAATAAATAAAAGAAGTCAGAGAACGGAGATTATTGGGAGATCTGAGGGTTCCTGAAGGATTCTTCTGGGAAGAGGGTCTTCATAGAGAAACTTTCTAGCTGGACAACTTCCTGCATAACCTGCTCCCTTAACCCTAGCTGCTCTGCCCGACAGCTTCCTCCTGCATCCCTGGATTCTGGCCCTGAGTTCTCCCCTCCCTTGATTTCATGTCTTCTCCCTTTGAGATTAGAAACCCAGATTCTAGGAATTTCCACTGTTATGGCAGTCCAGTGATAATGCATGGGCAGGGCCATAGGAGGTTACCTCATTCATGCCCACCTTTCCCCATCATTCCTTATAGGGAAATCCAGGGAGCCCCAGGCTACCCCACCACCTCCTGTGGCTCAGACAAACCTGTTGCTGACCTGTCAGGTTCTGTCTAGCCCTGCAGCCCTACACTTTAGAAGTCATTGTTTATTTCTCTTATTGTCATGTGCTCATTCCTCAGAAAATGACTTGGACTGGGGAGAAAGACACTTAACCCCTTTCCATCCACCTCTTTAAGAAAGGGACTGTGTGCCAAAGACACTCCCATATGTGTGAAGAAGGGGCTCTTGGGAGAATGTGAATTCCCCAGGATTCCTTTGAATACCTTTGTTGGCATTTCCTTCCCCTGTCCTCACCAAGCACTGAAGAGCCCCAGTCCTGCAGAGGTTGAATCAATTCCTTGCCTCTAGGAAAAGATGGCTCCTGAGGTCAGAGGTTGGGCAGTGTACCTACAACACCAGTTCTTGGGATATCACATACTTGTAATGCCAAGGTCTTGTGTCTGAATCTATTGATAGTCCAGTGCTACACTGCCAGCTCCCCTGTCATTACCACCCCCTCTACACGTGCTCCATAGGCAGGAGCTGTTACTATGGAAATACATTATTTTTAAAAACAGACACACAGCCTGGGCTTGGGAATCTCCGGAACAAACCTACACGAGCAAGGAGGTTAATGGGGCTGTTTCTGGGTCCAAGCTCCAAGAGGAAGGAGGGTGATGGTGGTGGAGGGAATTCAATATTCCCTGTTCTATTCTCAACCTCTCCCAGCTTCAGGTTCTGCTTTCTCTCTGTTGACATCAGCTGGACCTCTGCCAGACACTTTTGTCTGGGAGGGATGCTCTGCACCTCCTTACCCTGGGCCTAGCTTTCCCCGGGAAATGAGAAGCTAGAAGTCGCTGAGTCTGGGGGTGTTGGGAGAAGGGGGCGGTGATTTCCAAAGGGGTCACCTCCTTCTTAACCTCACAGGCGCCTGACCTGTAGAAATCTAACAATAACAGGGGAAAGCAAAGGCAGCATCTT